AGCGACACTGGTGTAACAGTCAGCAACTTACTTGGTGGACCACAGAGGTAATTTCTGATTTTGTGTTAATTAACAGAACTACATTTATTTTGCTATTTCGCACGCTGTTTGTACATTCAAGCTTTCATGCTAACGAAAAACAAAGAGTTGCTATCAACGCAGCCATACTTTCATTGAAAGCCGGCTGCAACGTTTTCTTTGACGAACAACGAGTAACGTCCTAAGAAAGAATTATTAAGAAAAAAACTTGCATCTATCTCTGAAACAAATCGTGAAGTTATCGATTAGTTTATGAACAATTCTTTGGATCGATCGAATAGCTAAGGTATGGATTAATTGAGTGGTTATCCATAAAAAATCTCGGGAGCATCATATTATCAAATTGATACATTAATAATGGTACTTACCAGTCCGTTACAATTACTAATTGCTACTGTTGATCTCGACTTGGCTTTTAATCTTCCAACATAGTGGCAATTTTCCATAGCATGTCTTTTCATAATTTTACCGTTCTTTCCTATAACCTCAACCTTGAAACTAGGCGTTAGTAGCCTTCTGTTTCGCTTTAAGTGAAGGTGAAGATTATTCCCAAAAGCTGACAGTTTGTAATGTACTTCTTCGCTGTCAACTTCATCCTCTTTATCCGAAGAGCGACGCAAACGTATTCTTGGATGTGATAACTCGTGAGAAACGAAAGCGCCCACTTCGTCTACTTGAACAGGATGCACAACGTTGTATTCAGGGACTGAAAGATATTTAACAAGAAAATCTGTCGATGAAACGTCTAAGGGAAATTTAGGAGCGTACCAGTATGACCAGAAGGGGTCATATGCACCTCTGCAACTCGAATGAGTCTGGCAGGTCACATGGGTATTAGATGCACGGAGTAAAACTTCAAAGGTTTTAACGATCAGGATGAATATGAAACCTTTGTCCGACTTTTGATTCGTTGATTGCTTGTTAGAATGCCTCTTTGGCCTAAAACGCAAATCAAGAACCCACGTTGATGGGAATCTATCTTCTTTCCTACCTTCGGGTTTGTTCCAAAACTTTTGTTCACAAAGAGGTAACATTAAAATAAGAAAAAAAGTAGTACCGTCACTATGCGAATCTACTCCAAATAGGCGGGATAAGTCCCTTGTAGTCATGTGTCTGTGGATACCATTGCGATGGGGCTGGATAGAGAGATAAAAAAATCAGCATCTTGATCTTGGAGCTTTATGTAATCTTTTGCTTTTAATCGCATTCGTTGGCGTGTGAAAAGCTAAAATTTTTAGGGGCTGCTCACTGAAACGATGTTGTTTAGTAAATCAGCGTTGAAGATGCATCTTCTATTTAGCCAAACGTAGTAACTAAACTTGAGCTCTTGAGTACACTGCCAAGAAGGCCTATAAATAACACTGAAAAGCATAATTTACTTCAAACAACCCACTAAGAAAGATATTTCTATGTATTTTTTGAGTGCAGAGCCTTTCCCTGATTTCTTTTACACTGTCTATCCTTCAACTATTGGTGAAAGAGCAAGATATATTTTTACGCATGATTTGATCTCTATGTTACTTAAAATCTTTATGAAATTTCTTACGAATTTGAACTCTTATTCATGAATATGCGAAATTCAGGAAAGACTGGAAGGGGCTGCTTTATATATTTTTTCAATAAAATGAAAGCTTTAAAACGATGCCCACCATCACATCCAGCACCTAATATTTTCAGAGATAGTGGTGCATGTGGGCTGAACAGTATGATACTGTTTTCGTTTTAAATCACTAGATCGTAGAGCACATATATTTCCAATACCAGAGTTTTTTCTTCAAAAGAAACGAGAGACCGATATCCATAGAAGGGTTCTAGGGTTTCGCCAATCAAAATTCAGCTTGTATGGCAAGCTAAAAGGCATAGGAATCAATTTATTAGTTTATTGCTTTATCTATCACCTTATTATTATCTCCCACTTTTCAATATTATCTAAGTTTTTTTATATTTGTTTAGCCATTGAGAGCTTCGTGTTTCGCGGCGTTACTAAGTTTGTTTCAACTTTTGCAGTGCCTACGGTGATTCATTTTCCATAGAACTAATCACAAAAAAACTGTTCTTGTCCTAAAATCAAATGAGAAAAGAAGAGGCTGCTGTTGTCATCTTGGTGATAATTATGTTTTGCTTTTAATATTGTAATCATCTTTTCCGATCATTTTCCCGCCTCTTCTATATAACATGGCTGGCGTGATGAAAGCCTTTGTGAGAAAGGAGTTCTTAGGCAATATTTTTCATTATTTTTAAGAAACGATAAACTTGTCAAAAGTTGGTGCAGTTGGTCGAGAATAGTGTAGGTAGATCTTAAAGCATTACCATGCAGTAATCAAAATAAGTTTCTGATCATCCGAATAAGTCTGCACTTAAAACGATGGTGCTATTCGCTTACCGGTAATGGGTTGTTATCATTAAATGAAGCATTAGATAAAATGAATTTCAGCGATAACCATTTCTCAATAAACGAGAGAAATGACCCGAATGGCCCGAACAGTATGTCTCACCAACCGAGACGCACCAAAAACCAGGTAAAGCTAACACCAAAAGTGCATCAAGGTGTGTAGAGTCAAAGATAAGTTGCCTATATACAGGGCTCTACCGGGGGGCATTGAAGCGTACATGTCTGTGCTCGTCTGTCGTATAATTAGTAGTTTATCATCTAGTACCGGCACGGGTGAAGCTAATGCATTCTTCTTTGCTTTCCAAATTAGTGATTAATTTCAACGCCAAAACAAACATGGGAAACAAGCTTGCTGTGCCGGAGAAATTTTCTTAGCAAACAGTCTTGTGTACTTTGTTTAATCTTGAACAAATGATATATATGGAATACTTACATGCATCGCTGTAACGGATAGCGAAAGGAAGCATAAAGCAAATTTGACAATCTTGAAACATCTTTCTTGCACGCTATCCATTTCCATCGTGTCTCAATCACTGCCTCTTAAAGGGAGAAATGAAATGAGTCACAGAGAGGAAAAATTATTGAAAACTCCTATTATTTGGGAAGATATGAAGAAAATAGTTCTTCCTAAGTTTATCACCGATACTTGTTTTCATTCGTACGAATTAACGCCATACCTTTGATTTTCAGGCCAACAGCATGTTGTATTTGTGTGAAACTCTGCTCCCAGTCGAGTAACGCAGGATGTCAGATTCTTTATCATCCACAGTTTACTCTTTCCCCTAATTATTACGGCGACTTGAAAATCAAATTAACACGACACACAAAACCATGACCCTCGACAAAGATATGTTCAACACTTGCGAAAACAAATCTAAACAAACTGATCAGCTGATTAATGTGGACTTAAAACGCTTCGATTCACTTGAGTGCCTTAACATTTGGGTTCAATCTGACGGCTGGGATACAAGCTTACCCTTTGTTGCGACGTTTGTGTTAAGCTTGGTTTTTCTCGTCTCCTTTGGAGGTTCAAGATATCAAGAAAATCACGTATTTTTGCTTCAAATTATTGCCAAATATTCGATTCCTGTGCCATATTTTTTGGTTGTTTTTTGATCGCAAAGTTTCTAAACTGGTATTTTTTGGTGTTTATGACACATAGACCTGCAATTGCGAATATGATTGGTTGATTTTTATTGCTTTGCTTGTGGCATTACAGCAAGGGGTCAAGATGTAATTAAAAATGTATCTTAATGGAAAGATTTTTTGCGAAGTTAAACTAAATGAACGATGGTTCGTAGCGATGTTGACTAGTTTTTTATTTTTTTGTTTTATTTTAGTTATTTGGGCTGTTAAATTAAATCCCGAAGAACTTCTGAATTGTAGAACCGAAGAAACTGTGGATGGAAACTCTAATTTCCAATTCTTATATCATACCATTTGTATGCTGATAACCGTCATGATACTCGATTAGAAAGACAAAAAGCATTTCCTTTCATTGTCTATAAGGGCGTTTAATAGCGGTGGTGTCTCGTTAAAACAATTCAGTAGAGCAGGAAATTTCTCAGAAATTATCATAAACAACATAGGTTCAATCCAGAAAGAGTTCACGTTTTGGAAAAAGCTTGTACTTGCGAACAAAACTGTGTTAAAAAACACTTAATTTCTTGTTAAGAAGCAATTCATTTAATTAACACCGTGGTGTCGATGATGTTATGAGGGAACATCATCGACCTCTCTTTTAACAACACAGAACGCTTTAAAACTGATTAATATTTCTACAACAGTAATATTTACAGTTTGAGGAACAACTTATTGCAATTACCACTAGATTTGATAGCTTTTGAACGCTACGGTACACGACTGGCGATGCCCAGGGTCACCTCTAAGAATATGCGGTAAGGTAATTAGTTTGAAACTAAGAATATCAATAAAATAGGTCGACTCGAGGATTTCAAATCGCTTCCCGTATGCAAACAGGAAATTGATAGTTGAGCCAACATGAATTTCTTAACCGAGCCATTCCTTAAATAGAATGCAAACGTCAGACCGTGTTTCTGATATTTTCGTCAAAGACAACCCTAGCTCATCGTCAATCAACGCTTGAGATTTATAGGAATTGTATGTGAAGATTTAGCTCATTTCAGTCTGGTCTACAATAAAGTGGTTCCGGATGTATGCATAAGAGTTAAATTTGTCAACGCTTAGTTGTCTTTGTACTTGTATATGAACAATCGGTAATACTATGCAGAGGTCATTTCCCCCATCTGATGAACGGCTATTCAAAATGCCAAGAAATCGTGTATTTTTTTGAGGATTTAAAAGGATTACGATTTTAAAGTAATGAACTGTTAAATAGGTTGAAAATAACCACGAGAGGCCATTAAGAAGAACCTATCACAGCCTCTTGGAATATTTTATTACACAAAACCATCCCTGGAATAACTTGTCATTATTTTGTAGGTTAGAATCACTGCGGTTTGCTTCAGTTTCCCATTGTACTTGCGGTTAGTTTGCGGGTCACTGAAAAAGATAATCACTTTCCTGAAAAGAGAGTCTATTATTCTTTATTGCTAACTGACCTTATCGGTCAATTTTGTCCTTCGTCGTTCCAAAAAAAAAAATAAAGAAAGTATTCGGGTTATCTGTACGTCGCGACAACACATGAGTTTCGGGTTCCTTTGACCTCAGCCTATCAAATGAATAGATTTTACAAGTTTATCAGGAAGAATTTTCGGTGTGATCATTTATTTCTAAAGTGCTCACGCGTTTGGCTTCTTTTTGGCGCTAAGTAAGTAAACTGAAGAGGCGCGCAATACTAAGCCATTATCGATACTAAACATCCCGTTGGAGGCTCTAAAGGAAGCTTCAAACCTAGGTAAGTTGTTCTCTTATTTTGTTTGTTATGACACATCTCGAAAATCAATTTCGAAAAATAGCATTAGCATTTAATGTTTTCTTGTTTTGAGAGGGAGGACTAGCTAAGTAGGTGTCTCTTGATTCAACTTGAATCAAAGGCCTGAGGCAAGAATCAAGCTCAGATAATTTAAATGAAGACGATGTTTGGTGAAAGGTTTTTCAAGCGCCGCCATTTAGATGGGCTACAATAAAAACTGTTCCTGATGTATTTTAAAAAGGCCGAAATTGAAGCAAAAGGCTCCCCAAAAATGAATGGCTCTCTGTAATTAGCGTATTGTGTATACTTGGAAAGAATGTTCGTCGGTTGAAAGCAATTTCTTTTCTCGATGGGGAATGCTTGCATGATATCCCAAAAGAGTGTCTGCGAAGGTGACTAAAAGAACTGCCTGTTGTGAAATGATATGCCTAAAATTGAAGGGATCTCTAGAAGTTATCAATTGCGAATGCTGACCCCGAATAGTGGCTCTACGCCAAAAGTGATTATTAATTGCATTTTCTGACTGTTTGCACGCAAAGCTATTGGCATACAATAGCTCCTTCAAGGCCTCAGGAATAGCTTGCCTTTTGAAAAATAAGTTTGCTTGAAACCAGCAGGGGATTGATTATGTAAGAATATGATAACGAGATCCTAAAAACGAGACGATATCTCCTCTTTCCTTAAACAGGAAACGTTTTCATTACCAATCCACAAAGTAGAGCAGGACAAGAAAAGGTAGTGTCTTACTTTCCATTGCTCATGCGTAGCCTACAATTAAGGGAGCCACAATAATTATGTTATTCATATGACTAGGATATTCCTCGTTTCAACCAGTGAATAAGTTTGGCAAATGCAGTGACGTTTTCGTTTCGAGCAAAATTTGACCGAGAGGTCACTTTGTTATGAAAGAGCTTGTAATCATCCGAACAAAAAAATTCAGTGCTGCTATTTGGGCTTTTTGCTTAATACAGTTATAACTGCATGAGTAGTAGGACAAGAATTGAAGAATTATCTCTTCTCACTCTTCTAAGTCAAGCTGCCGGCGTTAGATGCTCTGCTAATCTAAGTTGACCTCTCCTGTGTGAGTGAGTGCGATTAGGAAATAATATTCGAGAGTATCACTTGCTTTTTTCTTTCTCCAGAATTATCAAATTCAGCCTGTTTAATAAACGCAGCAAATCCAAAATTTAAGAATTTTTAAAATTGTGTGGGTGACTATATAGAAAACTTCTCTAAAGCTAGACTATGGACATAAATGTACTTCCTCATATGAATGATTCGCTTTATTCCTCTATAAAAACCTCACGGGAAAGCCTAAATTTCCTTCTCGCCTGCAAGCTTATATACTCCGTGGACCAAAGGACTTGATTAATTCCTTGAAATGTCGAACTCAATTTGTTATGTAAAATCGACCAACATTGAGAGCTTAGCGTTCCTAACTGAATTAGCCTTACTGTTCGCCTCAATGATTTTGTTTTTCTTGCATACGCTGGCTACTTGGTAGTGTGCATTGTGACATGCAAATTGTTCAGAGAGATGTTTACGAGTCTCACCTGTAAATTGAATGCACAAGTCATGTGGTCATTGCGAGCTTTCATGGCAAAATAAATAAACTGTCGTGCAAATTTAACGAAAGGTGAGTTATTCCCAATCTGCTTCCATTTTTCGTAATCACGGTGAGACGAAATTGATCAAAAAACGGAGAGAAGAATTACGCTATTATTCAATAAAGGATTTATTACATGGCCAAAAAGTTACACAAACTTGACATTTCGTTTTTGAGAGAAAAACTTAAAGCGGGAATCTAGGTCACAGAGTCAGGCACAAGGTATCCTGTTTTAATTTTGTTAAACAGAAGCATACAAGGACAACTTTTGAAAGGCAAATTTAGCTGTAACGCTAAAAAGTGTCGGTAAGTTCAAAAGCGTAATCGAAGGCGGTTGGACATTATCGTTTTAAGCCTGTCAATTATCAAAAAACAACAGGAACCTTTGCAAACAGTTATGCATATAAAGATATCGTTCCTGTAGAAAAGCAGGAGCAATATAATTTATTTAGTATGATAGGAAATTTTACTCTGGAAGATCGATCGTCACTCGCTATGAAGTAGTTTTTCAGTTGCTGCTATTCCTTACATTCATCGAGCTATATTCCTAATCGATTTACATCGCGTTTTTAAGAAGAATTATCTGTATCTATTATGGTTCGAAGTGGCCTTTCGAAATTTGCATTCAGTATCTATCTGATAAACTTGATAAAAGGGGAAAAGTTCTTCGAGATCATGCAGTTATCATCATCATCATCAACTCACTCAACCTAGCATGGTTGTCTGAGGACAACCCCTTGTATTGTGATATCCTCACACTGTTACATTGAGAATTGCCATACCAGCGAAGTTCTCTGCAAAAAAACATAAGAAATCTAATTGAAATTTCTTACATTGCACTGACCAGAAAGACTTAGAAACATCCATGGAGGTAAGATTCATGATGTGCAGTTTAAATTTTTTCAACCCTCTAACTCCCATAAGTGACCAGGACAGAATTTCTCCTTACGATATCAATACAATATCAACCAGATAAGTGATGAGAATAAGGAAAAATATCAGTCAGAGGATTATTAGTTGATCAAATACCAAATTATCAAAACTGACATCACAAGAACTGTATGACAGACAATAAGGAGAATTACGAATGAGATCTTGGGAGTGAAAGGGTTAAGACTTTAACAATAGTCTGTGTTATTAGGGTTCACCTGCAGATTTGAAAGCTACATGTATACTGTAAGAGCACAATGTTAAATAGACAAGAGTAACAGTGTCTGTATTGAGATCTAAACTGAACTGAAAAAATAACATCTGAATTTTGAAGCAATGTTGATTTTCACCACATTACAAAAAGTGCTGAATGACGGTATTTGTTATTCGGAAACCAATCTATATCGAGTTCATACTAATATTGCGAGAAAGCCGAATACTGTTCGAAAACCTTGCCGCTGTTGGTCGCTGATGCCAACCATTTACGTTGATCGTTCTTCGCTACGCCTCTTCGGTCCAACGATGGACTTAAAAGGGATGGATGAGACAAACCATGAGCACAAAAGGCTTCAAAACTCTACAAACAGCAAGAGTAATATGCTACTTGTCAAACGTCCTATTTTGGTATCAGAACGTGTGCGAGTCTCACTGAGAGCTCCGGGAAAACATCAGAAACCAAACATTTTCAGCTGAGGAATAAGCCACAAAGTGGTATGTTGTCATCCAAAATATGAAGCTCTTGAACAGCTTCTCCTCACTCATCCTACTTAAAAAACTGTTACATATTACCTGAATCTTAAATATTTCAAGATTAAGTAACGAAACTATCCAAATCGTTAAAGATTCCAAATTTCGTGGAAGATAACGAATTACTCATTCGTTCGCCATACACTAATTACGTGCGTAGCGTCATACTGACAGTAATTTCTCAACCAATGTTTAACTTGGAGACGCTCCCTCCCTCCCTCCCGATTCTTGTCTTCAAGTATATTTTCCTCTTGTTTTGCAGCTGATTCACCATATTTTGAGGTCTTAAAGATTTTATTTGATCTGACTTTTGAAAGCATCTAAATTATTTCTTCAAGTTGATTCGTGTATCTGTTAAGCTGCCACTTGGCTTTATTTTATACATATTAGGCCGCTGATTTACCATGTTGTGAGGTTTAAAGAATGAATTTGATTTCACCATTGTGAGGTATTTTATTTCTTGTCCTAAAGGATAACTGAAGTCCAAATTCATGTAATTTTTTCCCTGTAGATCGTACATTTATGTATGATGGAACAAATTTCCTCGAACGACAGTATATTTCGTGTATATTTTTAGCTACCATTAGGCAAGATTTTAGACACATTTGGCAGATGATTATGAGGTTTGAGGATTTACAGATTTCTTTTGATTGACCTCTCTTTTTGTCCCGCAACTACATTGTGAGCTACTTCGCTCCTTGAGCGTGAATCTCATTAATCGCAGTTTTAACGCGCGGTCAGTTTTTATTTTTTGCCAGGTCACAGATTGAGTTTTCTGTATCAATTTGCTCATCATTCCCCGACAGTTTTGTCACGTTTGGCTGTAGATATATTTGACTTTTTTGGTAAAAACTGTGTTAAAAGCTCATCTTGCGTCTGTTGATATCACGTATATGATTCATTTTTAGCTCCAAGTTTTAGTGCACTGGCTAACGCTCTTGGAGTTAATAATTACATAGTTACTATAGAGGGCACGGTACCGCTACTGGAGGGAGATGGCAAAAGTATAAATTCTCACCACTATTGAATAATTTAGACATACCATGAGGTAGCTCCAAGGAGCCTTTGATTAGTCCTCCTGGTATCATTTCAGTTGGTTCAACAAGGAAGCCCATAAACTTATACATGTAACTCTCTGAGTTTTGAGGATGTTTTAGTTGAAGTAAAAGAGCTGCCTAGATACCAAAGATGCTGGGAACTTCTTTGAAATTTCAAGAATTCTTAAATATCCTTTTCCATGCATGAACAAATGAGAACCGCCGCCTTAAAACGAAATGAGACAATTTCAATGATAGTCTTTAATATTTATTTTCAGACGTAAACGTTATTCCTTTGTTACAACATAAAAGGTGAAGTATTAACTGAAATAGACCCTCGCCAGTCATGGAGGGAAGGTGGAGAAAGTTTTCACTACTAATCGAGGACGTGAAAAAGTTAACAAAACCGCTACAAGAAGATACAGAAAAAATTTTTAAAATTTTGAAGGATTACGAGGAGATACTAAAAACTGAGGGAGCAAAGCCTGAGGAATGTGGTGAATTGAGCCAATTATCCCAAAGCCTCAACAAATTAATGGATAATTTGAAGAATGTTCGGGAAAAGGAAACCTCGAAAGATATAGTCATTCAATTTGTTGGAGCAACCAGTAGTGGCAAATCATCCCTTATAAACGCCCTACTCGGCGAACGTCGTCTACCTGTTGGATTCATGCAAACAACCATGTGTTCCATTAAAGTTTGCATCACTGAAGACAGCGAGTGGAGTATTGAAAAAATTGACAACAATGGAAACAAAGAGCCTCTCACAGAGGGAAGTGACGAAAAGAGTGTAAGCGATCTCTTGAGTAAAATGAGTGGTCAAAGAAATGAACAGGAACGGGAAAAGAAGGGAATTGGTCTAAGGACCATAATACAGATCAATTGGCCTGCCAGCAAATGCAAAAAGTTACCACGAAACGTTATCTTGTGTGACTCACCCGGCTTTGGAGAGAATGATGAAGACATGAAGCTTGTCACCCAGACGTGTAAAAAAGCAGACATAATTGTAGCCGTAATGGATTCCATGTCACCGTCAAGAGGGAGAGTGAGTAAAATGCACATGTTTCCTCTGTTCACAGAATCTATTGTTTTCAATCAGGTTAATGGCATTGTGACCAAATATTAAAACTCCGCTCCATGGAAACTGCTAATTACTGACACCCTCTTCCCCAGCGTAGACAATGCTTATCCGGGAAATGTCTGCCGGAACTATCTCAATTATGGTCGAATCATAGACAGTAAAGTCTGTTCCCCGTTCAAACTAGGAATACTTTCTACGACTTAAAATTTTATCACCGGAAAAAGTAAGAAAATAGTATAACGAGTCGATTTTTGTGTTTGTCATCTGGTGTTCTTGCCGCGTAGACTTTAAATGTGGACCTCTGTTCGCAAGGCCTACAAAAAGATTTCACTTCCTTCCTTTAGTCCTCCCCGCCACGCCACAAAATTAAAGCTTCAATATAATGTAAGTTCGTGTTTCATTGATAAGTCAAAAAAGAATAACTTTATAAACTTGAAATACTTGCAGATAATATATGATTATGATAAGGCACCTAGCTCTATAAACAGTACTCTTTGAATAGGTGGGTTCTGTGGTACATGAGAAAAAATTCGTCTCCCCTTTTTTAAGCAACGCCATATTGGTACATATGGAAACAAGCCACAGTGGTATTTAGAAACAACCTGACATGCTCTCAAATACCAAACAAGACAGCAGTGATCCTCTTTAGGAAAATGTTGTCTATGGCCCTTCACATTTCTCACATTTCGACGTCTATTTTTCTAATTTGAAAACTGTTTTTAATATTGATGTTTCCGTAGCTCACTAACCTGGTGAAAAATGTTGGCTGCCAATTTACTTTTGGAGTCTTCACCAAATGGGACGAATGCATAAGAAAAGCGCGAGAAGAAGGACAACAGAGCATCCGAAATGTGGTAAAAACGGCCAATGATTACATGAAGGAGTTCTGTGAAGTGCTTCAAGGGAAAGGCAAAGCTTACTTCGTGAACGTCAAAAACTTTGAAAATCATGATGTAAGCACTAAGTCCATGCATACTGATTCTTGCTTAAATTTCAAATTTAAGTGTAATGCAATCATTTCAGCTAGAAAGTTCGAACATGGAGAGGCAAGACACACCTATCAAAACTTCGAAACATTCTTACCTCTGATGACATTCTTTTTTTTCATTCTTTTCTGAATTTTCCTTATTTGCACCACAAGTTTGTAACAAAATAGCCACGAACAGAAAACGAAATACAAGTAAGAACGCATACGTTCTCCAACGCCGGAGATAAGCAAGGATGGTAAGCTGTTATCATTCTTCAATGAAATTCTAAAAGGAAGGCGTATTCCTTTATTCCTCTTATTTTCAGGATACATTTCTTCAGTTCGAGAACAAACTGGCCACGAGTGCAACAAAGTTGAAGATAGAGTCATTAACACAGCAGGCAAAATCTGTAGCTTTGCATTCCAGGAAGGTCTGCGAAAAGCTGAAAACTGTCATTGAAACCAGAAAGAGAGAAAAGCTAACTTGTCTGGAAACAGAGTTAGCTTTGATGGTAGAAGACGGCGTGAAGCTACAGGACGCTTTTGATGGCATTAAGAGTAAGGATGAAGACCTGGAAATTTTAACCGACGACACAGTCCAACCGTTATTAAAGGAGGTTGAAGACGAATTGTTGAAAGGCACATCAGAGGAAGAGGCTGTCAAACACTTTCTCGACGAAATCAATAGAGAGATCCAAAAAAATCTGACACGCAAAAGACATATAACTGGTACTGCCCTTCAAGAATGGAAGAAAAACATGCAATTCCACAAGTTACAGTCTCTCAGTACGCCTCCGTCTCAAGCACCTCCTCAGCTTACAAGTCAAGGATTACCTGAAGACCAATACCAGTGGTATCGCGACTTTAATTACTACTACACGAACAACTACATCTGTGCAGCCTTGGTTGGTGTCGCAGCCGTCGCAACTCCTGTATTTTTAGCTGGTGCTGGTGTAGGTATGTGAGTCAGAATCAAACATTTCCAGTTATGCGTCCAGTCCTTTTCAGTTACCTTGAACCTCAGATTCACTTTAACATAAGCCGCCCCGGGGACGAACTTTTCCAGTGAATTTGCCATGTATCTCACGAAATTAGGGCGTGTTTCTGGATTTAGACTCTTCTAAATTTGGGCTGTATTCCAGGATATCGATTTACATCCTCTAGATTTAAGTGAGTAAATCTTTCCTATTTCACTTCGGATATCTCCAGCTTAGCGAGTGTCCTTATGTGCAGACTCTTGTCAGTTTATCACCGTAATTTTGCTTCGCATTGGGAAATTACAGTGCAATATGCTGTGTATGAAATAACATGTGAAAAGGATGCCTTTTTATTAACCGCTTTAAAAGCCACCCCATTATTTTACATCAGCTTATGTAAGGGATAAAAAACAAGGATGTCTATAAAAATGTCTCATTCTCAGTTATGGTTTGAGTTTATAGCCGAAGCATCTTGTTTTACGTTATCACACATGATTAAGACTTTCTCGTTTTGGTTTCTTAGGGGCACTCGCAGGCTGTGCTGGAGAGGCGGTCGCACAAGGAGTGATGACGGGTGGAGCATGGGCAACTACCTTAGGAGGTCCTGTTGGAGCTGTCGGAGGATATATTGGAGAATGGTTTCGTGGCTTTCGTTTGGGAGACCAGTTGAAGAGAAAATTCCCGATAAGCCAATACAAAATAGATTGCTGGAAAAGTCTCCTCGCAAATCAAATAAGAAAGCTCCGCCAAGACTGCAAGAAGCTTTTAAGGGAGGAAAAGGACGCTGCTCTTGCGAATATCTTAAAGAAATTGGAGAGCGTCGCACTTGAGAAGTCAGACGAGATCGCAGGGCTTTGTAACAAGTCACACATCTTGAACCAGCTAGCTGCACAACTGGGAAACATTTGTGACCGAGTACAGACAACAACAGAAGAGTTCGACATGCTGCTGGCTGCGTAAGTATGTTCTCTTCGCATAACTCTTATAAAGAGAAACATGGAAATTATCATTAGGTTTTGCGGATATGAGGGCTTTATATCTGCCAACTTAAACAGTTTGATTAAAAATATTGAAGTTCAACTTTCACGGTTTTTGTTCTTAATCAAAGGAAAAGCCAAGCATATGAAGTAAATTGAAACATCATGAACTATAGGCGATTAGACACTGTGGAACTATGGGAAAAAGGCAACGAATTGCTCCTAAATGACAAAATTAAGATAATTGCCTACGCGTTTTACTTTTCTGAATGTACTATTTTATGATAATTTTCACAGTATCTATAAGCTTCCAAAAAGAAATTCTTTTTCTGATTGCCAGCTAAGCCTTTCGATCGTATTGTATACGATTTTAAACTTTAACGCAAATTCTACTTACAATAATGTTCGCGCTGATAGAATACACTAAACATGACAAGCTGAAGAAACATAGGAATACACAAAACACAAATTTCAAATGCACGGGTTTACGACGACCCCTGCATGCAGCCTTGACCATGTTGAACATGTATTTCAGTCTCAGTTGGTTATTTAAATATTATTTTTCAATTCTAGTTTGCCGAAGGCCCAAGATAATACGGTCGGTGAAATTGATCCGGAGATATATATCTCTCAAGCAGGTATATTTTAAGATAATTATTTTCTTATTTTAAAGGGTCTTTTAACTTAGTCTAATTGAGCAAAAATATCATAGCATGGCTCTGTATTGATCAGTGGGTGATTGATCCATCTGTTGTCGTATGGCAACCAGAACAATATTTCAGCATGTAAACGTTTTATACAGTTATAATGCTCGTCGCGGGTATGAGGGCATGACGCAATTATTGCTGTGGAAAATTGAAGAAGATATTATGTTAAAACTGTCTTTTCTTTTTTCTTTTAGATGGTACAATGCACTCTGAACGATCTGGCTAATGACGTAATTCAACACAGGGAGCTGTTCAGTGCTACTCTGTGTCGGCATGAATTGAATTTTTTCTGTAAAATCTCAATGTATGGATGCCATCCTTTGATCACAGGAGTCCTTGAGCCCTTCACTCGTGGGGTTGAGGGGGCGGCGAAGAGAACTGAAACCTTGCCTCCCTAAGATAATGAACATTTTTTTAAAATATTGAGTTCATACGAAGGCGCGAAAATTGTAAAACAAAAGGTGCACTGAGACAATTTTGCACAAACCCACTGCATAGAAAAATATTTCATTGGAGGCCACGTTGCTGGTACCTTCAAATCCACAAGACTAGCTTTTTTGTTTTTCAAAAGGCAGGTTAGTTTTTGGGTTTACCACTGTAATACTTGGATTCATCATAAGTGTTAGTATAGGTTTTGACATTTTAGAATTTGACTTCTGTTTTTTCATGAGAGATTTATACCCCTTTCATAAAGCAAACAAAGTTTAATTAAACCGGTTTAAACTGCATGAAAAGCAGAAAGAGGAAATTGAGAACCTGAATTTTATATTGGATTCAAGTAGTCGCTAACTTGTATTTACAAAGCGCAAACTATGAAGTTGACAAACATCGGCTTACTTTCCGTAAGTTTTCCCTGTCTGTTACGATAAGTACAATAAAAAAGGGTTACTATGCTTGTCCGAGAGATGTTATTAGCCAATCTTATCCATATATGCCTGTATTGGCACTTATCACGTGGGTCATTCATCGGGTCGCGTTACATTTTGCGATAGCTGGAAGGAAGGGTCTTTAAAGTACCACTTGAAAAAAGCTTGATAGTTAGAAATTCTCGAGCGTATGGAACAATTTGATCCATAATTTGTGGAAAAATCATGTAATTTTAAACGACATCGACTTAAAAGGTTCGTTGCTTTCAACTTTTTAATTTGCGTCGTTAAGTAACGGGCCTCGTGCACGCATTCAGCTATATCTTTCTTTCCCTTGGAAAAACAATGCAATTATAAATATAGGTCACCCTACTCGATCAAGAGCCAGAAACCATCTTATCTCTTTATCTGGTCTATTGATTGAAAAACAGTATCGTGTTCTCGGAATGCGTGCGCTTATTCGCCTGATTAGGTGATTTTTATGCGTAGTACAGGATGTGCAATGCAATACTGAGAAATCACCTTAATCTCTGTGAAAGGGTATCCGGTTAGATCGCTCCATGGTTAGATCGCTCCAAGTCAGATCGCTCCATACCGAAGTCAGATCGCTCCACTCGAAAGTTAGTTCGCTCCATCAAATCAGTTATTTCGCTCCATACATAAGTTACTTCGCTCCATGTAGAAACCTAATACACTAACTTACTTCTGATCTACTTCTGATGATGTGTATTGCGTCTTGCGATCGGTCGAATTACCGATGTTGGAACAAGTGTTTCAGTGTGTAATGAACGTAGAAAACTAATAAACTAACTTACTTCTGATCTTTGTAGTTTATAGTTGATGATGTTGCTTGCGATCAAGTTGCTGAAATATAAAGTGATCGACGATTCGTTCACTTGAACCCACCAAAGCGAATTACCAATGATGAAATAAGTGTTTCAGTGTGTAATAAATGATCAAATTTCTCTTATCCTTCTGTCTTTTATCAACCTTCCACGTTAGTTTTCTTCATGGAGCGAATAACTTATGTATGGAGCGAAGTAACTTATTTGATGGAGCGAACGAACTTTCGAGTGGAGCGATCTGACTTCGGTATGGAGCGATCTGACTTGGAGCGATCTAACCATGGAGCGATCTAACCGTAAACCCTGTGAAAGCCTCTGGAAATGACGAGGCTCATGACCAGAACAACTTGTTTTTAAATAGATCTTTGATAGATCGTTGCTTCCACATTTATCATCAACCATTTGGCGTTAAAAAATGACGAAACTACTCTGCGTCATATTAAAAAGAATCTGCCCAGCGTATATTATGAATATAATTGAATTATATTTTACGAAAAAGCTTTCTGCATTATTGAAGCGGTCCCGTTAAGACCTAAGACATCAATCTTTAGCAGAAAAAGTTTAAATAAACGATTGGCTTAAAAATTTAACTAAATTAAACCAAAGCCTCAGGTTAGTAAAAGTGGCCGGTAGACTGAAAGAAACTGCAGCTACAGCAACCCATGTCGCTCTTCTCCACTTCAATCGTTGGTGAATTTCTGACTTTTATTTTAATCTAGCGTATTCAAGGCACCAGAATGTTGCGAGTGTATATAACCTTTACCTTTACGCCTCGGAATTGTGGGTGAGTCTTGTTTAAGTGAGATATTTTAGTTTTATTATGGTATAAATAACCTCCTTTACAGTGCACTAATTTACCAATAGAAAACCATTCATCAATGGTTTTAAGGAAATGAATTCATCAAGTTTCAAATTTGATGATTCTTTTTTTCTTTCAGGACCTGAATGGTCTCGATAACTTTGTCCTGAATGAAATTCTTTTCCGCTTTGGGGGTGAGGGGGGGAAAGAGGTGTTCTTTACGATCGTGAGACAAATTAAATTTCAAGAAAACGATAGAGATTTTATTCGTTTATAAATGTAGTGGATTGTACATCTTTAGACTTAATACCCCATTCACAACGGCAAAACAGATCTAGTTACGCCGGGTTTAACTGAAGTAAAATCAGAAACAGCGAACTGGAAACTGCATTTTCCAAAGGTTTCAAGTAGTCAGTGAATTTTATTTTCAATATGTTATGTGCTTAATTTGAAGTCGGTAAACATCAGTTTCAGCAGCTTCGACGAAGAAAAACGGGGTATGAGTCGACTTAACTTTAAGTGTTGTTATGGCCTGAAAGCAGCTAATCAATTTATTTGGAAAGCTTAATAAAAGTAACAAAAGCTGTAAGTTTCTACAGAAACTGTGGTGCTGCGTCGGTGGGAGAGTATAGTAGGTAATTCAGTGTTAACAACTGAGTTGAAAACGTAAATTGGTTACCGTGAAGGGTAAGGGTAAGGGAGCGTTAGCCCTTCGTCAGAGTGATTTGAGGAATTGTGGGTTGAGTGTGGGTTTATAAAAACAGGAATAAATTAGTGGAATAAATAGCGCTCGTTGGTACCGTTGGGGTTAAGAGTGCCGATTTGGAAGATAAATTTTTGTTCTAGTGTTTTGCGGCTTTCCGAACTGCCTAAATGTAAGGAAAGGCGGCAAATAGCCATATCTTTTTTTTAATGTTTAGGGAGATTAAAAACATTGGCGCCAAAGTCATTTACACTAGACACTTTAGTCTCCCTAGAAGAGGGGGGGGGGGGGGGGTGTGTGTGTCCCGTTTTTTTCGCTTTCCTTGCCGGCTTTTCTGATTTCTGCGATTCTTTTTTTTTTGACAAAATAAGGGGGGGGGGTGGCCCCCCCGGGCTCTTCCCACAGATCCGCCATTGCGGACATCGTAAGAACGAGAGTGCATTTCAAGTAGTGTTGCGAAACTCTTGGCGATATACCTTTCTAGTCTTGTGGGTACTACCGTTGGCGACTCGTCTCTTAAAAACATGTCGGTATATTGAAGTGTCAGTCTGGTGATTGACTCGTATTTAACAGGATTGTTGATCAGCTGTTTTGGATACAAACCATGGAAAAAGCTTGGGGCAGCCAACGTAAATACTCCCAAAGTACTCAGACCGCATAGATCATATCTGTGTTTCACTCTTTTTCTGCAGGATTAAGAGGGTGCTAATGGACAAAGAGCTTTTCTAAAGTTCGAGAAAATTCTAGGAAAAGATGCATGAGATTAAAAGGCTAATCTTAATATAAGAGGCTGAAGCAGTATTGGAAGGATCAGATGCAGTGGGTGAAACTACGGAACCAGAAGCAGTTGTACTAGTTAGTTGATTTTTTCATAACAAAATTTTTTATCATAATTGTTTATAACTACTTTCAGTGATGCAATCGCTAGATCTTTGACTCACCAATATCCACTCATCAGTTTTGGTGCTTAAGCTCGACCTCCTCATGTTCCTAGTCACCTGACTTGCGTAATGTGTATTGCTGTCTCGTGAGCTTAAGCTCGACCTCCTCATGTTCCTAGTCACCTGACTTGCGTAATGTGTATTGCTGTCTCGTGAGTACTTTCATAATTCGATGTGGAAGTTACACAGTTACAAACAGTAACGGTTTTTTTACACGTTATGAGAGGGTTTAGCCACTGCTTACGGGATATAGCTAAATAAGGAAAGTAAATAATATCAAATTTTTGGACTGTTATTTTTGTGCAACTTGCCCGAAGAATAACATACACTACTTCTAGTTTGAACTCTATAGGCCTTGTGTGCTTTTGAAATAAGAAGCGTGCAATTTGAAGTGAGCCACTTTAGTTGTTTGGCGTGCCCTTTCGGGTTCCTGGAATTTCTCTTAACGGGAACTTCATGTTTCTTTTAACTTCCTTTACCACTCCACCCAGAAGGGTTGATTTCGTCATTTCTGTCATCAACGAATATCTTGTGAAAATCTTGTGCTTGGATGTGTGGCTAAACGTCGATTTCTTCAAGTCTTTTATATTCTAAAAAACATTATACCCATCTTTTTGGCTGCAATAATACTGATAGTCTACATCAGGCGTTAAGATCGAATGATGACACGTCGTCTAATATTACGCGTAGTTTAATATTGCGCGTCGGTTAACTGCGATTAGTGCGTTTAGTAAATATGTCATGATACTCGATTAGAAAGACAAAAAGCATTCTCTTTCATTTTATGTAACAGGGCGTTTTATGGCTGTCGCGCCCCATTAAAAAAAATTCAGCAGGGTCGGAAATTGCTCAAAAATTATCATAACCAAAAAAGATTCAACCCAGAAAGAGTCCACGTTTTGGAAAAAGCTTGTACTTCCAACAAAGCTGCGTTAAAAAAAAACACTTTTAACACTTTTAAAAGAATTGCTTCTCGTTAAAAAGGAATTCATTCGATTAACATTGAGGTATCGATAATCTTATAAGTGAACATCATCAACCTCTCTTTGAACAACGCAGAACGCCTTGGAACTGATTGAACTTTCCACTACGGTAATGTGTAGAGTGTGCGGAACAACTTATTGCAATTACCATTAGATTTAATAGCTTGTGAACGCCTCTGTAGACGACTGGCGATGCCCAGAGTCAACTCTCAAAAAGGTCGATTTGAGGATTTCAAATCCCTTCCCGTAATAACGGATAAAAGCGAAAGTTCCACAAAGAATACCAAATGAAACTGTTTGTTTTACAGCTACAGCTACATTGCAACTATTTGGGCTTTTCCGATATCTTTCAACTAAGATTGGACACAACCTTGAATTTATAAGCTGAAAACATTGCTATGAATTTTTGTAAGACTATTAGTGATTTTGTACGGAGAAAGGAAATGTCAAATAAACCATTTCAGTTATGCAGATCGTAGATCAGGTGACAATATGCAAACAGGAAATTGATTGTGCCAAGATGAATTCAAGTTGTCTTACTCGGTGATAGACAGCAAACATTAGACAGCGCTTGTGACATTTTCGTCACAGAAAACCCCAGCCCATCGTCAAGCAGCGCTCGGGATTCATAGGGGTTGTATTTGAAGATTAAGCTCACTAATATCTGTTCTACAATAAAGTGGTGCCGGATGCATGCGTAAGAGTTAGCTTTGTCAACGCTTAATTCACCTTTTAGGCTTTAGATTTCACTTGATGTAAACAAACCGCGAAAGTTCGGACATTGAGTCCACCACCCTCTACCCGTGTACAAACTTCCGCTTCGGCATTTTGTTGTTAATAATTTCCAATGTCGTGAAGCGTTTCGGTGCTCAAAATTGACTTCTTTCTTGTCTAATATGTTTGATTATTTATCAAGCGAGTTGATATTTCGCTACCGCTTAAGATGATTCGAAGAATGTGGCAGGAAGTGTTACAACATGAAATGATCAAACTGGTTCTGCGTACGTACAGTGATGTATTTGATCAGGTATTTTCAGGGCGTTAAACGCTTAGTTTGTCAAATAAAACCAAGTCTGATGGGAAATTAGTGCTCACGAATCGCTGTAATTAATCTTTGTACTTGTGCATGTGTATATCTTACCAATTCCGATAAAAACTTATTGATTGACGTTAAGATCACATGATCCAACACGTGACCTTCGTGGTCAACATTATGGTCTTACGATGAAAGATCGTACAGAAAACCATCGTCCTCGAAAGTTTCAGCTCAATCGGCTGTAATTTTGCGGAGATATAGCCGTTTATTTTCGTAACGCAATTTACCCTCCTGACCCAGGCCTTAAACTAATTGAGTTCTGGGTACTAAATAAATGAGCTATAGAGGCGCACCATACAAAGACATCATCAATTATAAAAATCCTGTTGGAGGCTCTAAAGGAAGCTTAAAACCTGGGTAAGTTGTTCTCCGACTCATTTTGTGATGACACGTCTCAAAAATCAATTTCGAAAACAGAGTTAGCATCTTATGTTTTCTTGTTTTGAGAGGGAGGAATAGCTAAGTGTCTATTGATTCAACTTGAATCAAAGGCCGGTATACCTGGTAAGGAATATTCATCGGTGGAAAGCAATCGCTTTTTCTCGATGGGGAGTGTTTGCATGACTTCCTAAACATAGCAGCTGCGAAGATGACTTGAGAGACTGTTTGTTGTTAAATGATGTGACTGAAATTGGAGAGATCTCTAAAAGTTATAAGGTGAGAATGCTGACCCTTAGTAGTGGCTCTTCGCTAAAAATGATTCTTCATGATCTCGCTTTTAGCACGCAATAATTTCCAAGACACCGAAATAGCTCGTTTCGTGGAAAAATCAATTAGCTTGAAACCAGCAATGAAATGATTATGCAAGCATACGTGGCGAGACCTTGAAAACTGGACGATCTAAATTGTCTGAGTTTGCTAAGCTGTTCGTCTCCTCTTTCCTTATTCAGAGACGTCTCCGTTACCAATCTACAAAGTTTAGCAGGATAATACAGGTATGTCTTCCTTTAGCTCATGCGTTGTCTAGCATTACGAGAGCTACTGTATGCTATTCATCTAACCAGGATATTATGTGCTACAATTAGTTTAGAGTAAGTTTTGAAAATGCGGTAATATTTTCGTTTTAAGCGAAACTTTGATCGAGAGATCGTTTTGTTATGAGAGAGCTTGAGATTATGCGAACTCAAACTTCAGTGTTGCTATAAGGGCTTTTGCCTAACACAGTTATAAATGCACGATTATTAAGACAATAATTAAAGAGTTGTTGATTCTCATTCTTCGAAGTCAAACTGCCGGCAGTAGATGCTCTGCCGATCTCATACGAGTATACCTTGCTATTTGGGTCTATTTGACTGCATGCCATTAGGAAATGATATTTGAATATCAAACCCCCATTTTGCTTCCTATACAATGCTTTGACCTGTTTACTGAACGAAACGAATCGAAAACCTCAACAATTTTGCTTAAAAATTGCTTAAGTGGCTAGTATGAAAAAGTTTCACCAAAGCAAGACTACAGATACGAATGGACTTTCTTTATGGAAAATGCTTCATTCCATTCCTCAGTTAAAACCTCACGGGCAAGCTTTCATTCTCTTTTTCGTCGTAAGTTTGCCTTTTAGATTAAACGAATTGGTTCATTCCTTGATATCTTGAGCTTGATATGTTCCTTAAAATCTAGAAAATGCACAATTATTTCGCTTTAGAGGAGTTTAGTATTCGTAAAAACGAGAGAGCTACTGTATACTATTCATATGACCAGCATATTCTGTGCCACAATTAGTTTAAAGTAAGTTTTGAAAATGCAGTGATGTTTTCGTTTTGAGCAAAAATTTTACCAAGAGATCATTTTGTTGTGAAAGAGCTTGAGATCATTCGAAGTCAAAATTTAGCGCTGCTATTAGGACTTTTGCCGAATACGGTTATAAATGCATGATTATTAGGAGAAGAATTAAAGAATTGTTGATTCTCACTCTTCGAAATAAAACTACCGGCAGTAGATGCTCTGCCGATCTCATACGAGCGCGCTTTGCTATTTGGGTCTATTTGACTACGTGCCATTAGGAAATGATATTCGAATATCAAACCCCAATTTCTATAGAATGCGTAGATTGGACCTGTTTACTGAACGAAACGAATCGAAAACCTCAACAATTTTGAAAAAAATTTGTTTAAGTAGCTAGTATTGAAAAGTGCACTAAAGCAAGACTACAGATACGAATGGACCTTCTTTTGTGCATAATGTTTTATTCCAATTATCAGTTAAAACCTTACGGGCAAGCTTTCATTCTCTTTTCCGTCGTAAATTTGCCTTGGAGATAAAAGGACTTGATTAATTTCTAGAGATGTTGAGCTCAATATGTTCCTTAATTTTGAAAATCTGTTCTATGATTTCGCTTTAGAGAAGTTTAGCATTTCTAGCAAATGAGAGAGCTACTGTAAGCTATTCATATGACCATGACTGAATTTACAATTAGTTAACTTATATATGAACGGCAGTTATTTCTTTTGGGGTCGCTATCTTGGGTACGCCCTTTCTTCCTTGAAGTCCTTGTCCATTCTGTTGTTATGTAACAAACTTCCAAGGGCTATTTTCCCTTTGAACAAAGTTCAACACCTTTTTCTGTAACGTGACTGAAGGCGTAAACAACTTGTACTTTTCACCTTCCGCCCTGAATTTATGATAAGTTAACTGATATGAATGGCATTTGGGCACGCCCTTTCTTCCTCGAATTTTCTGTTTATTCAGTTGTAATGTAACAAACTTCAAGGGCTATTTTCTCTTTGGTTATTTGTCTTAGTTTAATTCTAATTTACGCAATGGACCCTTTATAATTTTTATATTACCAAACTTGCTTTTGTTTTGCCCGATCTAAACCGCAAAAGTATGAAATTTCTAGTTGGAAAGTCGTTTTAGGAAGAATCAACAAACCGAAGGTACATACTTAGTATGCAGGAACTGTTTCGCAAAACTCCGCATGACTCGCTAGCTAAGTGACAAATAATGACGTTGGTTAAATATTGAAAGCTGGATGACTGTCGCCTTTATAAGTCGGAAACCAACGCCTTCCTTGAGAGAGTAGAATTAGTCCCTGAGCTAGCACGCTGTATTGCCTTGAAAACTAGACGATATATTTTCATATATATTTTTGGTGGCCAGTGCCTTCTATAGGAGGCGAAGCTACATATGTTGTTGAGATGAGTCAGTGAGTGTGACAATGGAATTCCGATCTTGCCCAATTTTGAAGTATCGGAGTATTTTGGTAGTTCGACATTCGCGCTCGAGGCACAGTTGACTTCATTCCTAGCTTTTGTGATTTCTGGCCTAAAGCCAGTAAAGCATTATATTTTCAGTTCTTACCTTGCCACTACGGAAGACAACAGAAGACGATAAACATCCCACGATATTTTAGGATCATTTTAACGCGCAGAAAACAAAATTTTTCCTGTGATCGACGGTTCATGAAACTCAGCCTGAAAATTCTTTTCTTCCAAGACGGAGCATTTTACCGTTTAAATCAGCAAATTATGTAGATCCAAATAAGTAATCCTTCCGGTTTTTGCCGTGACACTACAAAAGACGATAAACATCTCAAAATAATTTCTCAGTGGCATCCACTCACGAGACAGCAATACACATTTACGCAAGTCAGGTGACTAGGGACATGAGGAGGTCGAGCTTATAGCTAAATAAGGAAAGTAAATAATATCAAATTTTTGGACTGTTATTTTGTGTGCAACTTGCCCGAAGAATAACGTACACTACTTCTAGTTTGAACTCTATAGGCCTTGTGTGCTTTTGAAATAAGAAGCGTGCGATTTGAAGTGAGCCACTTCAGTTGTTTGGCGTGCCCTTTCGGGTTCCTGGAATTTCTCTTAACGGGAACTTCATGTTTCTTTTAATTTCCTTTACCCCTCCACCCAGAAGGGTTGATTTCGTCATTTCTGTCATTAACGAATATCTTGTGAAAATCTTGTGCTTGGATGTCTGGCTGAGCGTCGATTTCTTCAAGTGTTTTATCTTCTAAAAAACATTATACCCATCTTTTTGGCTGCAATAATACTGATAGTCTACATCAGGCGTTAAGATCGAATGATGACACGTCGTCTAATATTACGCGTAGTTTAATATTGCGCGTCGGTTAACTGCGATTAGTGCGTTTAGTAAATATGTCATGATACTCGATTAGAAAGACAAAAAGCATTCTCTTTCATTTTATGTAACAGGGCGTTTTATGGCTGTCGTGCCCCATTAAAAAAATTCAGCAGAGTCGGAAATTGCTCAAAAATTATCACAACCAACAAAGATTCAACCCAGAAAGAGTCCACGTTTTGAAAAAAGCTTGTACTTCCAACAAAGCTGCGTTAAAAAAAACACTTTTAACACTTTTAAAAGAATTGCTTCTCGTTAAAAAGGAATTCATTCGATTAACATTGAGGTATCGATAATCTTATAAGTGAACATCATCAACCTTTCTTTGAACAACACAGAACGCCTTGGAACTGATTGAACTTTCCACTACGGTAATGTGTAGAGTGTGCGGAACAACTTATTGCAATTACCACTAGATTTAATAGCTTGTGAACGCTTCTGTAGACGACTGGCGATGCCCAGAGTCACCTCTCAAAAAGGTCGATTTGAGGATTTCAAATCCCTTCCCGTAATAACGGATAAAAGCGAAGGTTCCACAAGGAATACCAAATGAAACTGTTTGTTTTACAGCTACAGCTACATTGCAACTATTTGGGCTTTTCCGATATCTTTCAGCTAAGATTGGACACAACCCTGAATTTCTTAGCTGAAAACTTTGCTATGAATTTTTGTAAGACTATTAGTGACTTTGTACAGAGAAAGGAAATGTCAAATAAACCATTTCAGTTATGCAGATCGTAGATCAGATGACAATATGCAAACAGGAAATTGATTGTGCCAAGATGAATTCAAGTTGTCTTACTCAGTGACAGAAAGCAAACATTAGACAGCGCTTGTGATATTTTTGTCACAGAAAACCCCAGCCCATCGTCAAGCAGCGCTTGGGATTCATAGGGGTTGTATTTGACGATTAAACTCGCTGTTTTCTGTTCTACAATAAAGTGGTGCCGGATGCATGCGTAAGAGTTAGCTTTGTCAACGCTTAATTCACCTTTTAGGCTTTAGATTTCACTTGATGTAAACAAACCGCGAAAGTTCAGACATTGAGTCCACCACCCTCTATCCGTGTACGCACTTCCGCTTCGGCATTTTGTTGTTAATAATTTCCAATGTGGTGAAGCGTTTCGATGCTCAAAATTGACTTCTTTCCTGTCTTATATGTTTGATTATTTATCAAACGAGTTGATATTTCGCTACCACTTAAGATGATTCGAAGAATGTAGCAGAAAGTGTTACAACATGAAATAATCAAACTGGTTCTGCCTACGTACAGTTATGTATTTGATCAGGTATTTTCAGCGCGTTAAACGCATAGTTTGTCAAATAAAACCAAGTCTGATGGGAAATTAGTGCCCACGAACCGCTGTTATTAGTCTTTGTACTTGTGCCTGAACAATCGGTAATAGTACGCTCTCGGAGGTCATATCCTCTATCTAATTAACGACTATTCACCTAAGTTTTACAACATGCCAAGGAATCGTATATTTTTATAGAGAATTTAAAAACATGACGATTTTAAGGTAATAAACTGTTAAAGAGGTTGAAAATAACCACGAGAGGCCATTGAAGAAGAACCCATCACTGCTTTTTTGGATCCTTTGTCACAACACAAAACTGTCCCTGAAATAACTTGTCACTATGAAACACTTACAATGGAATAACCTTTTGCTGGCAGTTTATGTCTTTAATGTTAAATATTCATGGGAAATGTCTTTCTTGAAAGCAGAGATAAAGAAGTTTTGAAAGCTGCTTAAAATAAGCTGTTGGCAAGTAATGAAAAGCAAAATGACAATCATACCTTGATGCCTGACATGCTTCACCCATCCATGTTCGTTGTGTAGAGGTGTCTTTAAAAATTTTTTTTTGCATGGCTGTGGTTATTCTAGGTACACAAGGCACCCACAAAGGTGGAAGAGTAGAAGACCATAGAATAATGGTTACTGGGAAATTGTACTTACCACAATGATATACTAATGTATATTCAAGCAATACACTACATATATAGAACTGATTACATAATGTATTTAATAACTGTACACATTTCATATGCTCCTCCCATTTGTTGGCAACAGTAGTTAGGATTTTTAGGAAAGCAACCAAACAAATGAATAGAAGACAGTGAAATGAGGGAATCTGCAAACCTTATCATATGATAGAAAAAAGATCACAATACTTAAGAAAGGAAACTTGAATTGTGCCAGCTAATTTCCTCTATTGTCCTTCATGTTTTTGATCAAATAAAATTTAATCAGTTGTAAGGTTTGCCTACAATGTGTCAAATAACTAGTGTGGACTTGATCCTTCTCAGATTTCAGCTGGTAAAAGATAGATACTAAAAATAGATGACCATAATAAAAGTACACATCATCAAAAAAAGCACGCTGAAGTGGTGGCCCGTACATTCATATACTATGAGATAACATTTGTGGTAGTGGAAGTATTGTAAGTACAGTACCACCTTGTGACAAAAATTATTTCCTGTAGGCATGAATGTTTGGGAGAAGTTATGGTTAAGTAATTGACCCTATTTTTGCTAGGATGCACAGGGTCTGATGATTGTAATGTTTATCTTGTAGCTTTCAAACTTTAACTTTGTATTAATTCTAACTGTTTACCATATCTATTTTTTATACCTTAAGCCCTATAACCAGACTTCCTTTGTTTGGAATTGCGTGATTATATAATTTTGCTGTGTAAGGTACCACATGGTACATGGTATCCTCGTTATCTTTATTGGTTAAAAAATCAAAATAAGAGAGTTGTGCAGGCCATATCCTACTTTTTATCCTCCTCTGGATATTTACTCAAGTAAAATAGTTACTATCAGTCTAATTCACTCTCACTGTCTACTGAGTTTGTGGAAAGATGATAACCTTGATATTTTCCTAAATGAGGAAAGGAAAGTCTGCCCTCTTATCATAGATAGTTCTTTTGTGCATATGAGCAAATTGCTATTTTTAAAACACTCTCTCAAGATTAAGATTAATGGCTGACCCAGGGCTGTGGTTTGCTACAAATTTTTGATCATTATTTTCTTATGAAATTGTGATTTTTACCATTATCAGTACAAACCTGGTCCATTTTGTACATGAAGGTTATTGTTCCAGGTAGGCTAACCTTATAAGTGAGTTGTGAAAATTTCTTGATCCTCTCTGAATATGAAAGTTTGATCCAATTTTTCCTCACCAACGTTACCCGAACTGAATAAATAGAAACTTGTAATTTATTTCGTCTCTTTTTGAGTTGTGCATCAAAATTTTGAAGTCATGGCAAGCTTGAACTACAGTTTTATAGGAAATCTGCATGCGCGTGTGTTTTCAACTTTAAGACAAGGATTCTGACTACTTTGAATGACTTTACTATGTGCCAATTACGGGTACAGGCAGGTGTTGCAAAAAATTTTGCATACCATATTTACTTGTGTATAAGTCAAACAAATGAGTACACATTACTTTTGCTAAGAATCTTGTGTTATATAATCCGGCCTGTATTTATGCTGAATTCTAAATTTTCAACCAAATTTTTTTATTCTTTTGAATATTCTTAGATCTCTTACATGTTGTATCAGTTAATATTCATGTAATTAAAATAATTACAAGAAATCTTACAGATGTATAGTACATTAATTTTTCCTCTCACCCCACTAACAAATTTTCAGTACATGTATGTGAAGGGATTGGTATTGGCTATAAAAGTATAGTCAAATTAAAGTTTTGTGCACAGCTTATGCACCAAATTTATTTAATTATTGCATCCTTCTTCAAACTAGTCAATTAGAATAAGAATGAGTTACCCGGCACAAGTATGGCTTTTCATGATGATAGTTTCCAGGTTAAAAAAAGTCACTTCGCCTGCTAAAATCCTCAGTTTTTTTCCCTAACTGTCTTGCCTCATCAAAACATTGGCAACAGGAGTGATAAGCAAATTAATGATACAAACAAGAGTCTAACTCAACATACACCTTCCTCACTCCTGTTAGTTTAGTCTGAACATGGCATTTCAAACATGGTGTATATGCCACAAATTTTCCATTTCACTGACTAATTATTTTGTAATGGTGTTTGCAAGTTGTAAAATATAATACAACGATTTGCCATTAGATAGTCAAATGAAACTCTTTACATAGGAATGAAATATACCAAATAACAAAATCAACTCAAATTTTAAACCAAAGAGAAACTTGATTGATGTTGGGAATTAATTTCTGTGATGTACATACGGTAGGAAATCCAGGTATTATCTCACGTTTTCTACAAATGTCTTCATGGTCGAATCCTAGGTCTCTCTTCGTCATCGAGTTTCAATTACTATATTCTAGTTCTACCCTGCCTTCCTTTAAATCAAACTTTCGTAGTGCAAGAAAAATGTTAGACAAGTTTCGTATTTCAGTAGCTAGAGTTGCTAAAACCATAGAAAGTTAGCTGAAAGACACCTGCATTATTTGCAGTCACAGTAGGTAACCGAATTAAATAACAGAAAAAATCTCAAAAAGACGCCCTGTATTTCCAGCCAGAGGACAATCGAATAAGGACAGCGAGAAAAATTAAATAATTAAATAAATAACAGATTTACACGAGTTGAAAATGACTTTTCTCTTTAATTTTCTACGCTCATCAGAAGTGGTTGAAAAGTCATACCTGGGAACTTAAAGAGAAGATATAAGAGAAGCCCATACGATTCTAGCGTATTGTTTTACTGACTCACTGTTCTCACGTGTAGACTCTTCAGTCGACCGGTGATGTCTTAACTTGGGGTAGTTTACCGTCGTTTCTTTCAATATTGGCTCATTTTACCAAACCGAAATTATCAATCACGCTCACGCGCAATGCATTCTGGGATCGTCTCATATAAAAAGTGGGCACCAAGCGTGACAGCGGCCATCTTGATAACTAAAGCATCGTCAACATTTATACACTTTTACCTCGCGATTTTACAATTTTTTCCAGTTTAAATTAGATCATAGTTTGTATATAGTTTTAATAATAGTTTGTATATAGTTTTCACTAGTTTGTATATAGTTTTCATATAGTTTTCTCGTCGTTTTTGGCGTGGAAATGAGCGAGACAAGTGAGCTTTCCCTCGAGGAAGTCAACACATGGAAGGTGGACGCTCTCAAGTTATTTTGCCGTAAACGAAATCTTAAAACTTCTGGAGCTAAAGCTGAACTTGTAGCCCGTGTGTTTGCAGCATCAGAGATGGGAATCCAAGTACAAGCATCGGCTAAAGAACTAATGTGCATCACGGAGTCTGAGAGAGCGAAGCTATTGTTTACTCCTGAGGGCAGCAAGCTTCCCGATCCTCTTGGGCTAAAGGACGGATGGATTGATGAAAAAGATGGGCTAACATCATGGCCTCCTATATTTCTAAGTGACATTACGAAATATCTGATGGCTGATCATCCTGGAAAGGATATTAAACTGCACGAACGGGTCATGAATGAGTACAAAGAGGGGAAAGCATACCGCTTATTTGACTCGGGCTTTCTGAAAGAAGTTTTCTACCATGAACTAGAAAATATGGATTTTTGCTTCTTGAAAGCAAAATGTACGCATTCGATGAAGGTTGGTGATACACCACATACATCATGGATTTGTTCAAGAAAAAATGGAGAGATTATCAGTGCCTACTGTACCTGTACTGCTGGGTATGTTAGACTTTCTGTTTTATAAGACTTTAACTTGTAACTGATGCAAAATATAAGCCTAAAATATCATGTTTATCATATACCTCGATTTTATGACTAATGTTGTTGGTCTAAGCTCAATATATATTATACTTTAGAATGTTTAAAATATTATGTCTATCATATACCCTAACTATTTGTTATTTCTTGTTTCAGTATGAGTGGTTCTTGTATTCATGTGATGGCACTGCTGTTCAGAATTGAAGCAGCAAACCGTAATGGTATGACAAATCCTGCATGTACGTCCAAAGAGTGTGTGTGGAATGTTCCAATAGGAAACAAGACTGTAATCAAGCCCTCTAGAATTTGTGATATGGAGTGGAAGGCTTCAAAGCTAAATAAAGGTATGTTATTATGTTTAAAATTCTAAACAAAGTATTTACAGTATGTATACTGGATAGACATAAGTGTTATCTGGGGACATAAATAAGAAAGTTCTTATTAGCTTGTAACCTAGCAATTAATTTACTTTTATTTTGTGTTTTTCTAGAGACGACCAGACCTGCCATCGATAGTCGCCGAAAGTTATTCAATTCACATGAAGAGTTGAAGCCCCTGACTCCAAAAGGAAAGAGGAAGTCGTTTTATAATAATTTGAAGGACTTGTTGCCAGAATCGGCATTCATCAAATTAGCAACGGCTGAGTTTGAGGAACCGTGTTCAACTTCCGTTACAATAGAAATTAATACTGAAGTACCTGAATGTGTAATGCCTAAGTCATCAAAGAAAGACTTAAGTGCTGATGATATACATCTGATTGAACAAGGCACCATTGGTCAGTCTGAGAATGAGGCATGGCACGATTACAGAAAAGGCCGATTAACTGCCTCTAATTTCTATAGAGTGTACACAAAAGTTGAAACCCTTAAAACTAAGGGGGGTGATGCACAGGAACTAGTGGACACAATCCAGGGTAAAAGTAATGGACCGTCGGAACATTTACCTGCTCTAAAATATGGAAGAAACATGGAGAAAGTTGCTAAGGATAAGTATGTGAAACTGTTTCAGAGGGAGCACAAAGATGCAAAATTCAGAGAGTGTGGACTATTTATTGATGAATCTGACCAATTCATTGGAGCATCCCCTGATCTGCTTGTTGAATGTTCCTGTTGTGGATTAGGGGTGCTAGAAGTGAAGTGCCCTTATTCTATTGTTAATGATTTACCATCAGAAGACAATCTTTCCTACCTGGTAAAGATTAATGGCAAAATTGTCTTGAAAGAGAAGCATGCATATTTTGCACAGATACAGGGACAAATGGCTGTGACAAAGAGAACATGGTGTCACTTCCTGGTCTACACCCAAAAGGGTTATCATCTGGAGCTAATCAAGTTCAATAATGATTACTGGGAAAAGATAAAGCAAAACCTAATTTGGTTTTATAATAAGTATTTAAGTGAATGAATGC